TCCTTCCACTTCAGCCTTCCATGTGGCTGGAGCTACAGGCATGCGCCACCACTCCCGGCTACTTTTTTGATTTATTATAGAGATGAGGTCTTGCCAAGTTGCCCAGGCTGGTCTCGAACCCATGGGCTCAGGCAGTCCTCTCACCTTGGCCTCCCAAAGTGCTGGGATTATAGGTGTGAGCCACTGCTCCTGGTCATACAGTATTTTCATTTTTAATTTTTTGAGAAAACTACGTAACCTAAGTACTGTTTTCCATAGCAGCTGCACCTTTTCCATCCCCACTAACAGTGCACAAAGGTTCTGATTTCTCTACATCTGCTCCCTCACTTGTTGTTTTCCGATTTTTTTTTTAATCGTAGCCATCCTAAAAGGTGTGAAGTGGCAGCTCATTGTGGTTTTGATTTGTGTTCCCCTGATGACTAATGCCGTGGGGCATCTTTGCATGTGCTCATTAGCTATTTGGATGGATGCTTGAGTTGTTTCCACCGTCTGTCTACTGTGAGCAGTGCTGCCATGAACATGGGTGTACAGTGCTGCCATGAACATGGGTGTACAACTGAAAGTTGGAGTCCCGGCTTTTGGTTTTTTTGGATATATACCCAAAAGTAGGATTGCTGGGTCATATGGTGATTCTGTTGATTTTCTAAGGATCTGCCGTACTGTTTTCCACGCCCCCCCTGTGTCTGTGGTTTACCCTCCCTGGCTGTGGATGCTGGAAACCAGGCCAGAGCGTTTGCCTGAGAATAGAGACAAATACCTTTGATAGGCTGGCGCCTCTGGTCTCCCGGCTGGGTCTGGTGGGCAGGCAGGAGCAGTGAAGCTTTGGACTCCATCTTCCACCTTGTCATGGCTGTGATATCCCTTCCTAAGCCTCAGTCTCTCATCTCTTTGAGGATCATAATAATAGCAGCTAATAGTTATTGAGTTCCTAGTACCTGCTGGCCCAGAGACAGGCTTGGAGGAGCCAGGAGCCGAGTTATCTGCAGTCTGGTGTGTGAAGATTGGATGAGGTGAGACCTGAGACGCATCAAGCAGGTGCTTGTCCCCATTTAATCGTGGCTGTTAGTACAATTAATGTGAAGGGGGTGTCAATTAGTCAGTGATCCCTGCCCTGGCTCCTCCTTGGATGAATCCCGATTTGCCCAATTGGCTCCGTTTCCAGCACCTGTACTAGGTCCTGGCCTCCACCCTCACTCCTCTGCCTCACTGCGACTTCCTGACCGGTATTTCCGCCTCTGTGCCTTCTCTAGCCAGTGGCCAGGGTGCCCTACCATGGCCTGGTCTGCTCCCACTGACATGTAGTAGGTTCTCATTAAACACTCGATGAATGGCTTGGTCATTAATGTTGTTCCTGGATGTGCATTGCTCCAGCTCTCAGACTCAATGTCCACTTCATCATGCCCTTTCACCTGGTACCTACCCGATGGTGAACTACCCCTTGGTAGTCCTGTGCACTCTCCGGTCCACAGCAGAAGCATGTGTTCATGAGCACCTACACATTACTTGTCTGGTCGTCTGTCAGAGCTTACCTCTTTCTAGGCCTTTCGGGAGACTCCCCTGTAAGACTGGACTATGGGAGCACCCCAGAGCTGGCAGGTGCGAAATAAACCTTGAGGGGTGTTGATTTTGCTTTTAAAATATTTTTTCTTATTCACTGGCCTTGAGTTTTGCAGGAGAGCATAAATTGAGGACTACTGAGTGGCCCACCAGGCCCTGGCTGTGGTTCTTTGCAGCCAGCTTGGCATCGGGTGGTCCTGTTGCCAGGCAAGCAGGACCCTGGCCCACCGTCTTCTGGCTGTGTTGTTTGACAGTGCACTTTGTTGGGCTTGTAAGTATCCCATGGCTTGGTTTATGTGGGAGAGTCCTGATAGGCCTGGCCTCTTGGAGAGGATGGATCGGGATTCTCCAGGCAGGAAGCAGCACTCAGGGCTGGCTCCTGATTTCACAGTCTTCATCGTGTTGTTGGTTTGTAGGAGGAGAGTAAAGGGCACCTCCCTGAAACCTAAGGGGTGGTCCAGCTGCCTCTAGGTATTAACAAGTCCTTCCGTTGGTGACTGTCCAGAGCCGGCTCTCTTCCAGTGCCTCTGATGGTCACACCCTCCTTGCTGACTCCCCTGCCTTGGGTGGAGCCTGGGATGGTGGAAAAAGGCCCCCCAGCTTATGGCCTAGGTGGGACAAAAGGGTGGACATAGAATTCCTTACTGAGATTCTTCTGGCCCCAGGAACTTGGAGCCTGCCCAGGCTGTTCCACCCTCGCCAGGGACAACACCTCATCCCTTACCCCTTTCCTTAAGTGGCCTTGATGGATGACAAGGCACTTGCACCAGTGTGCAATGTTCAGGCCACCAAAAACAAGACCCAAGTTCTTAGTGAGGGCTGAGATCCCTTTTGGTCTGTGAATGGGTTAAATACAGGACCCTATCTGAGCGTTCTTGTTCTGCGAGGTGTTTATGGCCTCAGGCCCTGCCCGCTCCCACCTGTTTCCGCCCATTGTTGTAAGTGTTTTATTGGCACATGTATGTGCCCATTTCGCACTACAGGAGAGTTGGAAGTTGTACAGAGGCTGGATGGCCCACCAGCCCTAACGTGTTTACTGCCTGGCTTTATACAGAACAGGTTTGCTGAGTCTTACTCGCGCAGCTTCCTGCACATTCCCTCTTTAAAGGTCTTTGGTGCCGAAGCACATTTGGGGAGCAGCTGTTTTCAGACAGCATTCAGCTTTCAGGAGCTGGGGTGAGGGCAGTGTAGGAAGACATGATGAATCCAGGGAATCTGGAAGGGGCTTCCTTCCAGCTGCCTCATTGGCTGGGTGTTCCCAAATCCTGGTTGCTAAGAGTGACGGACAGAGTTGATAAAGAGTGCTTCCACTAGAAATGAATTCTTGTGTGTGTTCTTGTTGCTTGGTTTATGTACATTTACAGCACAGAGGTTTTTGCCTGCCTACCATCTCCGAAAGTTTAGGTCTTCTTGCTAGCTTCATTTTGTTTAAATAAACATCTGTGTGATCATTCAGCCAGGCTCCCCACTCAGGCTTATGAAGGGCAGAAGGGCTTGTGAACTGTGATACAGTATGACAGATGCATTATTAGAGGCATATACTGGGGAGGATGAGGTGGCTGGTGCCTCTGGGGCTGTCCTAGGGTTGAAGCAAACTGAGGCCGTGAAGTCCAGTAGAGTCAGTTAATATTCCTATTGTGCCACTTCTCTTACCCTGCCTCCCTGAGCCTCAGTTTCCCTATTTGTCAGTTGGTATAACGATAGTTCCTCCCTCTCAGCATTGTGACCAGGGCAGACTGAGACCTGGCATGGGGAGACGGGCAGTTGCAGGAGCTTGTCACTCTTGCCCTTTCATCCTGTTGTGTATCTTTCAAGAAAGGCTTATGACACAGAAGCTGTCCTTCCAGGTTGTGGATGGAAATAGTGGTGGTACTGTTATTGCTATTGTTACTGTGATTTCCTGACCGTGGATGCTTTGCTGTGGACCAAGATTTGGGTAGTGTCTTTGGCATGGTGGTGTCAGGAGTTTCAGGTCCCCGAGCTGGCTTTGGGCACATAGGAGACCAGGGGGAAGGGAGAGGGCAGTGCTGGGTCCCGAGAATGCTCCATAGTAGGTGCCATGGGCCTGCGCCTGCCTGGGGCTTCTTCTCAGGGCCCATGTGGGTGTGATCCTGGACGAGGCCCAGTTCACCTGTAGACAGGTCTCAGGCAGGCAGAGCTCACCCTTGTGCCAGGTGCCCCTTCTACCCTGCTTAAAGACCAGCAAACTGAGGCTTAGGGAGGACTTGGCTTGACCAGGGCAGCCTGGCTCAAGGAACCTCACTCTCAACCCTTTGGGGCTGGTCCAGGAATGGAGTCCGAGGGTATGGGTCATGTTTGTCCACAGCTGAGACAAGGACGAATCTTGGTGATCTCTGTACCTTCCCTAACATGGCCTTCTGCTTCTCAGGGCCTTCGAAAACCCCCATTGCATTTCAGGCGTCAGGGTACCTGCTTTCTGCTGCCTGCAGCCCCACTCACCCACAGGCCCTTCCTGTCCCACCTGCAGACCCTTGGCTTGCGTGTCTGCTCATGGCTGGTCTTGGAACCTCTCACCCTGATTTCTCACACCTGCAAGATGCTCGTGTGTCCACAGTGTCCCAGTGCTTAGGTGATTTGTTGAACATTTTTGGAAAGTGGGGTCTGCGGTTTTACTGTTGTTACTGCTGCTGGCTTGGGCATGCGGCGGATTCCTTCCTGTGCTATTTCATGTCATCCTCAACAGCCCTCTGAGTAGGAGCACCTGTCTGAAGTCATGAGGTTGCAGTCCCCCAGGGTCTGGCTTCAGGCCGCTGTTGCCCACAGACCTGCCTTACTCAAGACCAGCAGGTGGGATTCTCAGCACAAGCCCAACTCCCTGCAGTGCTTAGGGCTGTTGGAGCAGATGTGGGTCAGCCCTGTCTGGTACTGGAGGCCCAGAGGGCTAGGATGCAACCCCTGACCCCAATAGGCGAGTACCCTCTTACCTGCCCCTCAGTTGCAGGGGTGTGTGATGGTATAACAGTGGCTGTGGATTCCCTGGGCAGGGCGACATGACTGAGGGTGGGAGCCACTCAGGCCAGGCTGACTGGGAAAGCCATCTCAGACAGAGCAAATGACCTGGGCAATATCTTGGAGACCAGGGAGGTCCTGACACCTCCTATGGGGACTCGCCGTGGTGCTGAGGGCAGGGTACCAGGACAGCAGCCAGGCCACTGGCCCCCGAGTCAGCAATGGCCCTGCCTCCAGAGGCTTAGGTCCAGCATTCCTTGGGTACCCTTCCTGCCCTGTCCCCCACAGGCATGGCTCTCTGGTTCCTGCTCCCCAGCACTGGCTTTGACCCCTTTGGGCCTTTCAGGAACTCTCATTTTGCATGGAGACCATAGCTCCTATTTCACGCATCTGCCCCTGAACCTGCCAGGGAGGGAGGCGGGTGAATGAGAGGATGCTGTTGTTTACTAACCCTGGCAGTGGGATCTGGAGTTGGCTCATACTGTTTTCCAAGAGCTGATTGCTGTTTTTAGGAATTTTGTGAGTTGGCTATTAATAAAATGAAAGTACATACATAAAATGAGATATGTTATCTTGAAAACAAAGATATTAAATATTTAAAACTCATCGTTTCTGAATTATTTTACTGCATGTCACTATTGTGTGGGCTCTGAGGTGATTTAGGTCTGCTGTGTCTGTGTGGTGGAAACACTACGTGATGATGGCGTGGCCAGGGTAGGGGCATTTACATCATGACTGTGGGCAAATGCCACAACTCAGGGCCTCACTCCTCATTTTGGTGATTGTCCAGACTTATGCATGTGATGGGGGACATTTGCAGATTAAACTTCAAGTCATGGGATGTCTGTAGTGTTCACTACATACAAATGGTGTAAAAGCATTATGAGAGCATTCTGCCATTAGGAAATCATCACCCATTTCAGCAAGAAAACATCTCATGTCATAGACTGACAAGCAAAGTTCTTTATCACCTTTGTTGTGGTTTGTTAATGTCAGTAGAACACCAGCCAGCACCCTGTTGGGCTGGTTCTCGACTGTGGCCATGGGTTGGCTGTGGATACAGGCATTGAACACAGATTAATGAAAGCATTCTGTGAAAACCAGCTGGCTCTCCAGAGTTTATGGGAAAGAATGTTGCATATTTTGTTATTATTCATAAATGTATGCTGCATAGAATGAACATGGGACATATGTCTATGTACATAGGTTTCCCCGGGGCTGTCGTGAAACATTCACTGGCTCCTTCCTCCCTAGGCCCTGCAGGACCCCAGTACACAGAGGAGCAAGTGGAGGCTCACATAGGCTCCTCCCAGCACCCTCAGTCCTTCCGACTGATTCTCCTGGGCCACCCTGACAAGGGTGGCAGAGTGGGTGGTACCTCGAGCTGGCATTAGCACCCCAGGGTCTGCTCTGCTCCGTGCCTGCTCTGCAGCCCCCCGGGCGACTTTCCTGTTACAATGCAGAAAGCTCAGTTTCTCCCGCAGGGGGCTTTAGCCTGACCTCTGCATGCCCCAAAGCCCCTAAAGATGCTGCACCAGGGAAAGAAATTCAAGCCTCTTCCTGGAGAAACACCCCAGCTGGTTGAAGCCTTGGAGTTAAGTTTTTGCAGATTCGGGTACCACATGCTTGGGCAGGGTCCAAGGGCAAAGTTCCTGATGTCTGTCTTGAATCTCCGCTGAAGAAAATCTCTGCACAGCCTGTGGTGGGGGCCCCAAGCCGATGGGTGCTCTGAGTTGAGGCCCCACAGGAGCCCGGTTATACAGAGGAGGAAATACACTTACACAGGCCCCTCCCAGCCCTCTCAGTCTTTCTGACTGGCTCTCCTGGGCCACCCTAGCAAGGGAAGGCAGAGCAGGGCCTAGGCTGAGGCCCGGCCTTTGCACATTGCTCTCTTACTCTCTGCACAAGTGTTTGTCACTGCCCTCCATGTGCTATGGTCTGCTAAGGGAGACCCTGGCCTCTGCAGCTCACACCTGCCTGGGCATCACCTGGAAAGCAGAGCCCACTGGGAGTTTGAGCCATATATGCTCCACCCCAGGGAGGCCCCCACCATCAGGGAGTGTGTGTTCTCACTGGGGAGGGCTAGGGGCACAAATCGTAAACAAGGGGAGTGATCAGCCCACTCCAAGGACTTCAAATCCAACCACACAGGATGGTGGAATGAACGCGGTCAACACTTGGAGGAGAGGGAGCAGATGGGAGACATTCCTGAACCAAACCTGCCAGTCCCTGCAGTAGGAGCAGATGTGGTGGCTGGGGGGTTTCAGGGTTCAGCAGGGCTGAAGCTGAGTCTGGGGGGAAGTGGGGTGATAAGCATGGCAGGTGAAATGCTGCATCTGTCCAGCGGCAGGGGAAACCCTAGGAGGGTTCTGCAGGGACGTAGCAGGGTCTGGAGAAGACTCTGTTAGACCCGGTGACTGCCTGGACCAGGATGGGTTGGGGGCCATAGAAATGGACAGATGTGTGACCTGGTCTGGAGGTACTGCAGGTTGACTGCAGAATGAGGAATGAGACGATCAAGGGCCCTTGGAAGGTTTTGCCCCTAGTGACTGGTGTACACGATGCCATCAAGCTCTGTGCTGGAGCTCTGTGCCAGCGTGACATAGAGGAGACATTGGTGAGACATCCAGCAGACAATGGACAAACCAGTTCAGAGCCTGCAGGGAGGTCAGGTCGGGCACTGAGTTGAAAACCTGGGGTAGAGACATGAGGAGCACTTGGAGTCCCACTGACTGTGCCCAGCCTGGCAGGACAGGTGTGAATCCAGGGTGAGGGAGGCGGCTCCTGGACAGGTCTCGGATTTGGGGAAACCCACATATCATCAGGTGTGAGCTAAACTCCTAAGTCTGATGTTGGAACGACAGTGGCCAAGACCAGGCAGGATTGGGGCAGGGTCAACAGTCTCAGGGGTCCATACAGGCCTGTGGAGTAAAGTGTGTATTGGGATCCTCAGGCCTCTTCCTGCATGGAGCAATTAGGGAGGTGAATGTGTGGCTGTGTGAGTGCCTGGTGTAGGTGTAGGGTGCACATTAGAATCAGGCCTTAGTTGACGCCCTCCCTGGCCCTCCTGCTCACCATGCAAAGCCTTGGAATCTGCCAGTTATTTCATCCTCACATCCCTCCAGCTGGCCTGCTTCATGGTCCATCTGCTGGTCTAACCTTGATCCCAGGCCTTTCTGACCACTTTAGGCGGCTATCTTCCCCAGAGGAGTGAGGCTTGGCAGAGCGCCATCCACTGTGGTGGGGGTAGGGGGAGACATGCAGGTCTTGCTTAACATTCATGAGTCCCCCAGGGATATTGTTTAGAAGCCAGGGCTGTGGGAAAGCGGACACTGTTTATCTGGGGATTGGTGGGACAGCCACTGGATAATGAGGGGATAAAGGACGCGGTGGCAGCCAGACGCTGGCTTAGGGGTTGTCTGACTGTGGGGTCGTGGATCCAGAGCTCAGAAAGAACCTTCAGCCAGGGAGATGGTGTAAAGATGTGGCCCAGGGCCAGCACCAGAGACCAGGAACCACTTTTTTTTTTTTAATCTTGGGCTGGGGAAGGGGAAATAAAGTCCTTTGTGGTTTCCAAGTCCAAGGTTCCCTAGACACTGCTGCCTTTGTGTGTCCAGAAGCAATTCAGCGGGTTTCCAAAGCAGCGTGCTTTTGTGCTCCAGGGCTAGCTGACTGGACCTGTCCCGCTTGCAGAGAGGGGCCCAGAGCTGGCCAGGCGCTGCCCTGCTCTGGAGCACAGGATCCAGGTCCTCGAGGCTCCTGGGCTGCAGGTGCCACCCTCTCTGTGTTTGCAGGTGTCAAGCAGCTCTCAGAGGCATATGGTGACTGGATCCTTGCAGCACACCCTGGTTCTAGAGCCGGGTCTGGAGTAGCCACAGCCAAGGAGTGTTTTCAGATGGAGGTATGAGGGCGGTGGGGACAGAGGGCATGGCCGATCCTGCTCTGAGCAGAAGCCACCACCTTGGGTGAGATGCTGCTGTCTATGAGGGGCAGTGGGTCCCAGGTATCATGTGCTGTTCTGGAGCCAAGAGAAAGGCAGGCTCCCCTCCAGAAGGTTGGTTGGTCCAGCTAGACCTACTGGTACAGCCCGGAGAGGGGTCCACTGAAGGGGTGGAGGCCCCCCGAGGATCCCGCCTCACTAGAGGAGTCAGCATGGAAAGGAGCCATTTCCTCTCTCAGGAAGCTCAACAAGATTTGCCCTCAGCATCTGTGCAGAACTTGACATGACAGAGGAAGAGAGGCCAGTCTGAGAGGCCAGTGTGACTCGGATTGGCAGGGGACCCTAGGCTACCCAGGGTGGGCTTGTGGGTGCAGGTGGAGGGGCGGGCCCTGGGGAGATCAGCCACACTGCAGGCTGAGGGATTGGACTTCTTCCAAAAGGACTGTGTGTGTGCCAGGGAGCACAGCTAGAAGTACGGAGGGTTGGAGGGGGCTGGTGGGGGAGACACGTGATAGCAAGTACTGGGACAGAAGATGCAGGTGAGATGTAGGTGAGACACTGGCCTGGTCTGAGGTCCAGCCCTGGAGCCGTGGTCACTGTGTAGATGTTCCTCGGTCTCATCCTCAGTTTCTGCATCTGTAAGTTGGGCATGTGCTGGGGTGAACGGTATCCCCCAAAATTCATGCCCACTTGGAACCTGTGAATGTGACCTTACTTGGAAATAGGATGTCATTGAGATGATATTGTTCTGGTGTGGGGTGGGACACCCTGCAACCTGGCACAGAGGGTGCCAGTGTGGATGTGGAAGGTGTCATCTCTCCCTGGCGCAGGCCCAGGGTGAAACCACAGTCTGTACCCATCCTTGGTGGCATGGTTGGTAATGTGGAGTTGGATCCTTAACTGACTGCAGCTGAAGAGTCTGTCCTTTTGAGGAACCCAAGGAGTTTGGGTAAGGAGAGCCTGGGAGTGGGCCCTCTGGGACCCCTTGCGCAGGTAGGCTACACATGTGGACCCCTTCCCCCAGGCTGCTGTGAGCAGCCTAGCAGGGGCCCCTGGGTTTGGGGCTGAGCCAGTGGCTGGGAGAACGGGTCGGCGAGTAGCTGGGTGCTGCGGTGGGGCGCGTGTTGCATTCTGATGGTGGCAGGCGGGACACTCAGCGCCTTTGTCCCCTCTCCTGCTGCAGCCTCATTTGCTTGCCTGAGCTGATTGGGAAGGAAGGCGGCCCCAGCCTCAGGGAATGTGAGCATCCCTGACAAGGGCACCCTCTTCAGCCTAGAATTCTATACGCAGCCCAAAAGCTGGGGTTTTTTGAGAATGAAAGGAAGGTTTTATGTTGCTACACTTCCCCTACCCAGGTCCTTCTTATCTTTTTGCATTAAAAGCAGTCGGAATGGTGGTTACCAGGGGCTGGGGAGGGAGGAATGGGGAGTTATTGTTCAGTGAGCTTGGGGGTGGAGTGGGGGGGTTGGGTTTCAGATTATAAGATAAAGAGTTCTGGGGATGTAGTTAGCACCACAGAATCGAACACTTAAAAATGGGGAAGTTGATCCTTTTCTGTAATGTGCGTTTTACCATTATAAAACATTTGGGAAGAAAAGGCAAGAGACTTGTTAGAGACCACCCCGGGCAGGGCCCTGTAGAGCCTGCATCTCTTCACATACCTGTTTGCTGCAACGGTGGCCAAGGGCAGGTCACATTTTGTAGTGCCTTTGTCTCTTTCCAAGGACAGCATCCTGTGTGAGTCCTCCACTGGGACTTTCTTCCCTGCCCATCTCAGTGGGCGGTGGGTGACACATTTCCCTGAGCCAGGCCTTCTGTGCATCTTGGATTGGATCCCAGGATCCTGCGTAGCGCAAAAGGTGGGATGGCTGGTTCAAAGGGTACCTGTTGTGTTTACAGTTCCTGGTGTTCTGCTGTCCTAGTTAGCTTTGCTTCCTTTCTAGTGAAGTTGGAGGTTTTTGCACGAGTTGAGAGGTGGTTTTACCATTTTTCCCTATTTATTCAAGCTGTCTTGGAACAAAGATAGGAATCCTTCATATATCCTTTTTGCTACCTGTATTCCCCATTTCATTGCATATTAAAAATTTTTTTTTTACTTTTCAACAAGTGAGGACTTGAAGGCTGTTAGACCTTTTTACTTTGTGGTTTTATTTTTTAGTCTCGTAATACAGACCATCATCTGCTCTCTAGAGATTTGATAAGTACTGGGTTCTCTTTTCTTTTGGTTTGTTGTGTTTTTAAGTTTATTGAGACTCAATTGCTGTGTGGCTCAGACCAAGTTCTGGAACATTCTAACTGAGGTCTCGAGGTCCCTGCTGTTAGTAGGACTGCTTGCCAGGAGCCATGATGCCAAGGAGGTGGAGGGGCCTTGAAGGGCAGGGCAGGCATGTCAGGGCTGCTGACGGGCACGTCCCAACTAGATTTGTCATTTGAGTGCTTTTGTGCCTGTGCTGCCCCAAGCAGGAGGCTCTCTTCCCCTCTATGCTTCGCCCGGAAGCATCCCAACTGGGCTTACTCTCCGTCCCTCTGTCCTTGCGCCCAGGCCCAGTTGATATGTATCATCCTGAATCCTCAGAACACTTTGCCTCACTGGTATCATTGCCGTTTCTGGGGTGAAAACTGCAGCTCAGCAGGCTCAGAAAGCTGGTAAGCGGCCGAATAGGCTTTGAACCCAGGTGTGCACGGAGCGGCCCTTCTGCAGGGCCCCAGATTGTCCTGCACAAGTTGGGGCTGGGGTTTGTGGGAAGAGCACCTCCCATCATGGAGCTCTGTGAGCAGGGCTGTGGCTGGAGCCGAGGTGGCCCCTCCCTACCTGGCCAGCCTCTCCCGTGGGCCACTTACTCTGCCCCTGGGATTTGGGGGTGCCTTGGTGTTCCCACCTAGTTGGGGTAGAGACATGGCAAGCAGGTACATTATGACAAATCCATCCTTTGGTGCGCATGCGTGTGTGAATTTACACATCTTCCATGCAGCGCACAGTGAGTCTCATCCTGTGTGACCTGTACCAGACCTCTGCTTCTGTCACTCCAGGCTAGGTTTGGGATGGGAGGCACAGCCAGTGCCGAGTGCCTGACTGACTGTGCTATCTCTGGGAAGGCTTCTCTCAGAGGAAGTGAGGCCTGAGCCGTACCTTGAAGACTGAGCCCAGTTGGACAGTGAGTAGGAACATGTTTTAGGCAGACGGAGCAGTGTGGGCAAAGTCCCTGGGAGCCAGGGCCAGGTGGAACAGGTGGGACGTGAGGTCTCATTAGGTCCACGAGGGAGTCTATTGAGGCATCCCTGATGCCGTGCACCCTGCAGTTTCCAGGTCTTGGCTGCAGTGCGTGTAGATGTCACTTCCACTGCGTTCTTGGCAGTTTGTTACGGAGCTTTTGTGTGAGATAGGCCCTCCTTTCCCCTTCTCATCTCAGTGTTCCTCCTGATCTCGGGTCTCTGTGCCACCCTGGTGACCCAGGCTGAGAACCTTGGCTTCCTTCTGCCTGTTGGTAGCCAGGGGACTTGCTTTGGGAGGAGGCAGAAGGAGCTCAGCAGCTGACCAGGCCCAACCAGGGTGGGGTGACCTGGCGGGTGCAGTATGAGGGTCTGTGGATCAGGGTTTTCTTTGAAAACCTTGGACTGGCCTCTCCCTGAACACAGGTATTCGGTCATGGGGCTTAGGACTGTGTGTGGGAGGGACGGTGCTCTCAAAGCAACAGGTGGCGAGCAGGCAAGTGACCATGCCTCCCTCTCCCTCTCTTCCAGGGACCCCGACCGTCATGTTAAGGTAAAGCAGAGGAGCTCAGTGCTGAACATGCTAAGGAGGCTGGACAAAATCAGGTTCAGAGGTCACAAGAGAGATGACTTCCTCGATCTAGCAGAGTCTCCAAATGCCTCGGACACTGAATGCGGAGACGAAATACCCCTGAAGATACCTCGGACCTCGCCCCGGGACAGTGAGGAGCTGAGGGACCCTGTGAGTATGTCTACCTGGGAATGTCCTGGCTTCTTCGTCCCTTGGTGTGGACTGGAGGTATTGTCCACAGTCCTCAGGGGGCCATGCTGAGTGTGGACTGAGGCAGATTCGTGTCCGGCCCATGCTAGTTAGAGACAGATGGGGCCTTGTTGCCTTTCTCGCCTGCCCCACTGCCCACTGCAGACTCCCGAGGGGAACAACTCACCCCACATCCAGCCTTCTCTGTACCAGGCGCTTATCTAGTGGCTGATTTCTTTGTCTTCCTCATTGGTTTTTCTGGGTGATTGGTAAACTTCTCATGCAAAAGCAACACTGAGGCCCCAGCTTATCCCCTGGGAGCATTGACATGAGCATGGCGCCATCTGGAAGCTGCTGGCTTATCTTCTGACCATGCCAGGGTGCATGCCTCCAACCCCTGGCAGCTGGTTGAGGCTGGACTGGGCCCGTGGCAGCCCATGTGGAGTCAGGGCTGGGCCTGAGCCAGTTGGCAGAGAGCTCTTCATTTGGGCAGCAAATATCCATTGAGCACCTTAGCCAGGTCCTGGGGCCCGGGTGGTAACTAGACATGAGTGGGTTCTGCCTTCCAGAAGTTTGTATTCTGTGGGGTAGGGGTGGGGCATATAGTGTGGGGGTGGGGTGGGCTCTCTGTGGCCCCTTCTCTAGACAGGCATGGTTACAGGGCTCATCCCTGGGCGTGTACACCATGCTTGGTTTCCTGTTGGTTTGTCCTTCCAGTCCCTGAACTGAGTTTTCTTTCCAGATGTGTCCTGTGAGCACTGGCTCTTGTGTTATTAATGCTTTGTAACAGAACAGTGACTGTGCGTTTGCTCCTAGCAGGAATTAATAATTTACTGTTGCTGCTTCCTAAGAGCTGGACAGTTCATTCTGCGCTGCCCGATCAGGGGGTGGGGTTGCTTGGTTTCCTGGGAGGTGAGCAACTGGCCTACCTGACATTGGTCTCTGTTCCCAGGCAAAGGCTATGGCTGGTCCCCCAGCTGCTGGCCTGGGGTGGGCAGGGACTCTAGCATGGTGTGTGCCTCGTGCAGGTTGTATCACAGAGCAACGGGCTTGCCCTGACAAGAGAGCCGTGCCTTGTCTAGCTGTGGCTGGCTCTGGTGTGGAGGGCTGTGGGCCATTATTTCAGGATGGTGGTCTTTGGGTTGAACATGTGGTGGGTGTGTTAGGAGTGAGACCCCCCTACCCACATGGTTCTGAGCCTAACATGGAGGGGCTACAGGGATCCCTACACAAATACTGATACTGTGCTGTTCTCCTGACTCCCACCTTATCCGTCCATCTGTCTAGCCAGGGCTATATGGCAGCCACTTTGTTCCAGGTGCTCTCTAGGTAGAGACCCGAACTCCACCTGGAACTGGGCCCTCCTGCCTGAGTGTATGTGTGTGTCTGACGTGGGAGTGGGGCAGGGAATGAGAGCAGGGGTTGGGGCAGAGGGTCTCTAGGACCAGCTACTGGGAGTTGGTCTGGGAGGACCTGCCCATCTGGTAGTTGTGCAGATCTTGGGTGCTGTGGAAGAGCTCACTGCCTGGCACCTGGTACTTTCCCCTCCTTTGATGGTCCAACCAGCCAACCTGGGCCCAGGGCCTCCTGCTGGAGACAGTCTCTACATACAGCTGGTGGCACAGTCGGGACTGTCCTGCTGGTAGGGTCTGGGACTGACTAGTGTAGGGGCTGTGTGCCACATGGGATGAGGCGGGGAGGGACATGGCAGGCATGGTACTTTGGTGTTGGTGGATGACGAGGTTTGGGCAGAGGTCTGGGGTGCGGCTGTGCCCCTGGGACTATGCCCTGCCCACTGCCATGCTCTGCTAGGGCTAGGTTTCTGTCACCATTGAGTGGAGGGAGTATGAGTGCTCATAAGCATCCATTCTGGGTCTTTGGTTCAATGTCCTGCCTTTAGATAGTTTTGCTTGCCAGGCTGTTACAGGGTGAGGACCTGTCCTAGGGTGTGCCATGGTCCTGGGGAGTACCATAGTCCCTGGGCGTGCTGTGAACTAGGGAGTGCCATGGTTCCAGAATGTGCTGTGGTTTTTAGGGCATGCCTTGGTGGGTAAGCTGGAAGGCCAGGGCAGAGGAGATCAGGTCCAAGGTTGCAGGTGCAGGTCTGGTTGGAGCAGCAGGAGGTGAGGCTGAAGGATCATGGGGAGAGGTATTCACCTGGGGCAGACCATCTGAAGAATGTAGGTTCCTGGAGGAGGTAGAAGGAACTAGGGGATGATACCGGGGTATGGCAGGGTGTGGTGCTGGTTGGATGGGTGGGGGGCAGTCATAGGAAAAGCAGGCCATTGTCTGGACCAGCTTTGATGTTCAGGTGACAGTCTGTGAGGTGAAAGGGTCCTTAGGATGACATATTGAATAAGGACGGGGCCTAATGCTTCAGAGACTGGGACAAGTTCAGCCCATGGACCTGGGTTTTCCTTCCTTGCAGCAGTTGAGTGACTGGAGAGGGAAACAATCGCAGGGATTCGACACCAGAAATCATGGGAAATTCCCAATGTGGAAGAAAAGGGCCCTGGTATGGCATCCTGTTGAATGCCAGCTTGGGCAATGACCATAGAGAGACCAGGCTGAGCTGTTTAACTGTCTAACTTTGACCTGAACCTTAGGGTCCTCAGTTTTAAAAGAGAATGTAATCATGTCTACCTCTTAGGCCTGCTTTGAGGATTAAATGAGATAAGATGTGAAAAGTGCATGGCCGGCTTCTCCCTCATTCTTAGCGTACAGGTAGTTGTAATTATTGATGACCATGAAATATTGATTGATTCACAAAACCCTTCTCCTGGTTCTGGCCCCCCTTTGTAAAGCCTCATTCTTGTAGTATGTAGACCCTGCTCTGAGGTCATGCTCACAAGGCCCCCTAGGTGGGGGTGTGCAGAAGATGCCCTACCCCTCCTAACCCCTCCTTACCCTTTCCTGGAGGTACAGTGTTTCCTCCTCTGTGCAGCCTTCAGGGACATCTGAGACCTAGGCTCAAGCACGGGCCTTGGGAGTTGGTTTTATAATGGCTTTAATGAAGTGTACCCACACAGCATACAGTTCACCCATTTAAAGTGTGCAATTCTGGGCTTTCTGGCATATGAGGGGGGACCCAAAAAAACCCTGGAATTATCTTTTTTGAAGTGCAGGCCCCTTGTAGTAGAGACTTTCCCCACTAGGTAAGTATTCTAGGAACCTATCAACATCAGTGTACCAGCTAACCTTGTTGTGAGAGGCTGTCTTGTAGAAGAAATGTCTGAGTTATGGCAAATAAGTGACCGGAACTTCCACCATGACAGTGCAGCTGCCCATACTGTGCTGAGTGTTCAACAGTTTTTGACCTCAAATAGCATGACCCCTGTGTCCCACCCTCCCTGTTTACCTGATTTCGCCCCAAGTGGCTTTTTTTTTTTGTTTCCCTGGATGAAAGAAATCGTCAAAGGGAAACCTTTTGCCCGTGTGGAAGAGGTGAAATAAAAACTGGCAGAAACACTAAAAGACATCAAAATTTCAAGTTCAAAAACTATTTTAAGCAGTGGAAAAAAAGTCTTAATAGGTATATTGCATCAAATGGAGAGTACTTTGAAGGTGACTGAAGTTTAAACATGTAAGAATAGACAAATTTTGTATAAATAAATTCCTTTTTTGGGAAGTCCTCCCTCGTAGTCACAGTCGTGTGACCATAACTGGAGTCAGTTTTTGAATAATCCAAAAGAGACCCTGTTTCTTTTAGTAGACATTCCCCAGTTCCCTCTACCCTTTTCCCCTGCCAACCACCAGTCTACTTTCTGCTCCTCTGGAGACCTCATGAGTAGAACCTCACAGTGTTTGCCTAAAGTGGATATTTCATTTGAGGAGAACCATTTAACATGTGGCCTTTCATGACTGGCTTTCACTTGACGTAATGGAGGCAGGGTTCACCCCTGCTGTAGCATGTGTCAGTGCTTCCTTCCTTTTTATGACTGAGTAATATTCCACTGTATAGACAGGCCCTGTTTCATTTATCCATCCATCCATGGGTTGTTTCTCCGCTCTTTGCCTGTGATCAATGAGGCTGGACATCCATGAACAAGTTATTGTGTGAACGTGTTTTTTTTTGAGTTGGAGTCTCACTCCGTCTCCTAGGCTGGAATGTAATGGTATGCTCACAGCCATCCCAGCTTTGAACTGCTGGACTCAGGCGATCCTTCTGCCTCAACTTTCCAAGTATCCAGAACTACAGGCACGTGCTACCATGCCCGGCTAATTTTTTTTATTTATTGTAGAGATGAGGTCTTACAAAGTTGCTTAGGCTGGTCTCGAACCTGTGGGCTCAGGCAATCCTCTCACCTTGGCTTCCCAAAGTGCTGGGATTACAGGCTTGAGCTACCACACCTGGCTTGAATGTGTTTTGATGTGGCCTTGCTGAGTCGTGTGGTGACCTGCTGTTTCACTTTCTGAGGAAGCACCATGCTGTCTCCCACAGCGGCCACACCATCTTCCCATCCCACCGGCGTTATCTGAAGGTTTCCCTATTAGGGCTCAGATGGGAGCTGGTTTGTGGCCAGGGCTGCCCTGGACTGTCTCCCTCCTCGCGCTCCGTGATCTCTTTGAGAGGGGATTGAGTAGCCTTATTCTTTGCAGAAGCTCAGGATCCCACTGTGGGGTATGCATTGCTTCACCTAACCTGTCCCCCCTGAGGGATGCACAGGAGCTCTGGACTCTCGCATCTGCTGCTCCTGTGGGCCACATCACCCTTGGGTGGAAGTGCTGGGCTGAGTGTATCTGTTTTTGTTGTCCCGGTGGCTGTCCCCTGGTTGAATCCTACGGGGCCTATGGTGAGTACTCCTTGGCCCCCCAGAGGGCCTGCATGCCCATGTCCTTGTCTCCCACATGGATATTCTCAGCTTTTCTGTGTGCCAACCTGAGGGATAAAATAGCAGCGCCGAGTGGCTTCAGTTTGCATGGCTTTTATCATGAGAGAACTTGGTCATCTTTACATGGTTTAGGCTTCATTTCTTTGTATT